TCACTATTGCATCTTAAAAAGAAAAACCTCGCAGGCCTGTGTTATTATATTTTTTATATCAATAAATTTCTCTCTCTGATAAATAATTTGCCGAGTTAATCGCATTTTCGTAATTTTCTAAATTGTCTGTAACTAACTATTTTTTTTTTTTAATTTTTCACCGATTGATACGATTTACTCCGAGTTTCCATGAAGCGTTCAGTTGAAATCGACCAGTCACATCGCTCGCAATCGATTGCCGTTTTATCGGAGTTTAAATGCGTCTCATTCGCGTAAACGACAGAAGGTCGAGGACCTTTTTTTTCTCTCGCGACAAAATTATTTTCGAAAACTCGTTACGCCCGAATTCCTGTAAGTCTGCCCGTGACAGGATAACTCGGCTATTTGACGATAATAGCGGTAAAACGGTCGACGGGAAACGAGCGGGAAATCAATTTGAATTATTAAGGCAGAGGAAATATGACGACGACACGGGTCGGGTATCGAGAGAGAGTAAAGCGAAATACAATTATATCCGTTTACCGGTACCGGGATCGGGAAAATACCGTTACGCGCGTAATTAACGACTGGCTGAGATTGCGCCTGTTTGCGCATTTTATGCACGTACGTGTACGTAAAATATACGCACACACACACACACACACGTGCAGTTTGTAAAATAGGCGCGTTCGAGCACGAGATTTGCTGGGCCTCGATGTCGGCCGCGTTAACGATCGCTCGAGATTTTCACGCGATGATCCATTTGACCCGCAGTGGATTATCGTCGACGCTGTCTGCTGCCGTCGTCGTGTATTTTCAACGTCACAACGATAATGAACGCGGACGCGCGCAACGAGGAAGATTGATTTGACGGATATGACGATTTAGTAATGTGCCCGTTTTATTAAAAGCGTGGCGCAGGTGCAAAGCGTACGCCTCTCCCCCTTCAACTTGCCCGCCCTCAGAGAACGGGTGGTATGGTTTGCATATCGCAGCTAATATCATTCTGACCTGCCTCGCGATCTGTAAACTCGAATAAAGAAATATTCAAAGCGATTTTCAATGAAAATGAGAATCAATGAAAATTGTGTGCTCAGTTATTACCATTCTTATGTATATTTTCTTATGTATATCCTGTTCTCTAAAATATTGTTTGTTTATTTTTGTGTCAATGCGATATTAAATATCGCTTGACTTATATTTTTTTTCGATATAAATTTTATTTATTTTTATAAAAATAATTAATTTTTAAAATAATAAATTAATTTTTATAATTTTATTTTTATAAATTTATTTTTATAAATTGTGTCAAAGTATCTTTAATCTTAATTTAATATAAATTAAGATTAAAGATACTTTGACACAATTTATAAAAATAAATTTATAAAAATAAAATTATAAAAATTAATTTATTGTTTTAAAAATTAATTATTTTTATAAAAATAAATTAAATTTATATCGAAAAAAAATATAAGTCAAGCGATATTTAATATCGCATAAGCATAATTCAAAGCGATTTTTGAATCAATGAAAAATGTGTGTCCACCCAGACAACACACAAAAGACATCTAAAAGACGACTTAAAGACGTCTTAAAGTCCTCTAGATGTCTTTAAGACATCTTTTAGCCTTTTTGTGCTGTTTGGGCAGTTATTACCATTCTTATGTAATATGTATATTCTATCCTGTTCTAAAATATTATTTGCTTATTTTTGTGTCAAAGTATCTTCAATCTTAATTTAATATAAATTTATATCGAAAAAAAATATAAGTTTATAAAAAAGTAAATTGTAAAATGTATTAATTATAAATTAAATTATAAAATAAATATAAATTTATATATATATATATATATATATATATATATATATACATATATATACAGAGTGTCCCAAAAGTCTGGACACAGTCGAATATCTCATATAGAATGCATTTTAGAACAAAATGATTTAGACAAAAGTTGTAAGGATTAAAAAGATGTATTTAACTGTAATATCGATTTGACATTGAGTGACGTCGCCAAGCTTAGGGCAAGGTCAACTTGAATTTTTTAAATGGAACCCCCTATTTTTTATTGCATATTTTTGTAGCTTACCTCGAGAGCTTTCCAAAACACTATAATAAAGTATTTCTTCATTGAATACTTTTCAAGTTACGAGGCTTGAAGTAATTTTTTAATTTTACATAAACCATAAAATATCTAGTAAAATATTCATTTTTGGATTATTTTACCTTAATACTTTTATGTACAAAATAATGAGAGGAATCAATTGGTGTAAAGAAAACATACAGTTGTTTCGAAGAAAAAATATGGAATTGTTAATTGTAAATTACATATTTTTTCTTCGAAACAACTGTATGTTTTCTTTACACCAATTGATTCCTTTCATTATTTTGTACATAAAAGTATTAAGGTAAAATAATCCAAAAATGAATATTTTACTAGATATTTTATGGTTTATGTAAAATTAAAAAATTACTTCAAGCCTCGTAACTTGAAAAGTATTCAATGAAGAAATACTTTATTATAGTGTCTTGGAAAGCTCTCGAGGTAAGCTACAAAAATATGCAATAAAAAATAGGGCGTTCCATTTAAAAAATTCAAGTTGACCTTGCCCTAAGCTTGGCGACGTCACTCAATGTCAAATGGATGTTACAGTTAAATATATCTTTTTAATCCTTACAACTTTTGTCTAAATCATTTTGTTCTAAAATGCATTCTATATGAGATATTCGACTGTGTCCAGACTTTTGGGACACTCTGTATATATATAAAATAAATATAAATTTATAGTATAAATATATAAATGAAACATAAAAATATAAATATAATCGAGAAATAAGTATAATCTTAATGCAAATTTATTTCGAAATTAATATTTTCGAATTTTGTATACGAATGTTGTAAACGATCTTGGAGGAACGGTTAGATCGAGAGAAAGAGAGAGAGCAATATAGTTAAGAGTTAACAAAATATACATTCTTTCTTCCCTTTTTGTATTTTAATATCTGTTGGAAAATAGGTCACGTCTCGGGAAGCTCCAGCTTGCTCACCAAATCACTGAGGCATTAAGTAGATAAGTCATATTGACTTGGCGAGTTTCTCGTTATGGTAATTCCATAATCCATAATTTATACGTACATCTGATGAGAGAGAGGAGAAGGATTCCAGATTAAAATAAGTTACTGTTTATACATATAACGATTTTGAAGATTCGCACGTTTCTTTTTAAAATAATCAACGTACGCGACGCGTAAAAGAGGACATACAAATATTCCGAACAAAGTTGTAGCAGCCAATCGCAATTTTCTTCGAGATAAACGGGCGGAATGAAACTTGATCGTAAAAAAAGCATTCGAAAGTTCTCCAAGTTTCGCAGAGCGGAAGATCCGTCTTCAAACGAAGGCGGATTTTTTGTCATCGGGACCGCCGGAAACAGCTTCGGAATTAGTTTTGCCTCGCTACATGCTAGTCTTGGCGAATCGAAGGCGCGTTCGCGAAATGCGAGAAGAATGCGCGAATAGCTTGCCGATCCTGGCGAGGAGTTTCTCTCGAGCGATATTAAGGCGTCATCCCTCAAAAGCGCACGTCAGCCGGTGTCGCGCTGGAAAGGTTGCTCGTACGCTAAAACTAGCTCTCGTTCCGCTCGGCGAACTAGTTTGCGACAGCCTGGCCGGCGAATGCATATTGTCGCGCTTAATAACTTTTGCATAATTTACGGATGGGTGAGAAAGAGAGAGAGAGAGAGAGAAGGGGAGGAAAGGAGAGAGATCGTCGATGGCGCGACCAAACGCGCCCGGACCAACAAACGTCGTCGTCGGCGGCCTGGGGGTGTATAAACTGCTCCCGAAACCCGAAAGTCGCTCTTTCGTGGCGACACACAAACGTAACGCGCTCGTACGACCGCGTAAATTAACTTTAAGCGCGGTTTCGAGATCGCGAGTTTGTAATTCGTGTTACGGCAAGCTTTGCATTTTAACTAACGGGCTTACGCCCGTCGCGTCGAAACGGTACAAAACGATTATTCCCAAGCAAGGAGCGAGTATTTTTGCGTGTTTGTCCCGTCGGTGGCTGCCTCAAGTTTGCCCGGATCGTCGAAGGAACGTCGTTACGCTAAGGAAATTTTAATTAACGTGCAGCGCTCGTTTTACGACATCTTTCTTGAGATTCCGCTCGAATCTCTCGAAAAGTCAACACGCACACGTTACATTTGGGAAAATTATTCTCGTTCTGTAAAGTGACAAGGCAATTCGAATAACTCGCTTATTCAAATTCTCGTCAGCGAAAGGGTTCAACTAGACCTCCGTCCAAGTTCTCGAAGTAAAAACAAAAAAAAAACATGGACTAGGACATTTATAAATAGCTGGTTGTATTAAAAAAAGAGGAATCACTAAAGGGATCCCTTATTGAACGGCAAACTCTTATACAATACAACGCTTTCATCCAAATCCTCATTCCGTATCTCTCTCTATCGTTATTTATAAAGAAGATGCACTATTCTACTTTTACCGACATTTCAGGTACATACGGACCAAAATTTTTGGGCAGGTGCCATTTATTAATTAGACTACTAAACTCAATTTTCACAGTTTCCAAGTTTTTATTGTGCAGCTCCGCTATTGGGTATGCTATTGTTTTATGCATAAAAGCTACAAAACATTGATACAAGGCTAATATTTTTATGAGGTGATAGCTTTAAACGCCATGTTGATCTAAAAAATCGATAAATAAATATATAATTTTACTTTTTTTCTTTCTCGGTATATAATCGATTTCACCGTGTCCGTTTGCATTTATATTTCAACCGTAGAAAAAGACTTGTAATTCTATGCAGGCAATAAAAAATGGCACCTGCCCAAAAATTACAGTGTTTTGTCGATAAAACAGATAGGTTGAGCGATCCCCTTAAGTAAAATGATTAGAAAACGAAATGAAAAGTCCCTTCTTCCTTCGTTCGATGAACTTGGACAGAGACTCCAATTAAACTTTTGCTATCCATGCATCACAATATTTCTACTCACAGGTGACAATCAAATGAGCGCTGGCGCGAATCTGTTTGATCCTCAGGTATCGTCCGACCTGACACTCGTACTCGCCATCATCGGTCAGGGATGCATCGGTGATCTTCAAGTTGTAAATACCGGCGGCCTGATCACCGATCAGCTTCAGCCTAGGATGGCCCACGACTTCGCCGTCTGCAACAATTAATGGGAATCATTAACGCTTCGGTTGTTATAATCGGATGATAATGCAACGACTGTTGACTGTTGAGTATCCATATCTGGTCAATGTCCTGCGGCGAAGGAGCGAATTGTGATTTACAAACGGATACGCGCATCAGGTTTACTAATCAGGTCTAATCTCGGGTCTAATTTTATCTCTGTTTATTATACGCGCTTATTCGACCGGTACGCGAGTATCTCGATTAAACGATGCCATTATGATAGCCGGAAGTCGATGAGACCGCCGGGTAATTAACTGTTCGGCGTCGATAGTCCATTCGCTGTTGTAGATACATATTTTTACAGCTAGGCTTAAATGATAAATCCACCCCGCTGCTAAGATCGTAAAAGTTACAAATATATTTATAAGAATGAAACTTTCATGATTTGTCAGTCTTTATTGTCAAACTTGTCAAACCTTTTTTGACGCAAATGTTATTTAAATTTCGAAAGTTATTAATATATTTTGTAATTGCATTTGTTAAATGTTTGATCTCTTGTAAATCGAAAAGTTGTCAAGTAAGATATTACTTTCTAAGAAGAAAATTTTAGTAAAACGATTTTATCTCTGTTAGAAATTTTTGGGTCGGAGAAGATTGTGTTTTAAAGCTTTATTAGATTCTAGAAAAATTTTCTTTTTGGACAGGAAATAATGTTCAGAATTTCAATTCGAAAAGATCGGGCTTAAAATTCAATACGCTCAAGACTATAATAATGTAGGTTTTTGCATTTGTGTACGCACTGTACGTGTTATTGTAACGTTGTACGGCTTATAATGTAAATCCATGAATCAGGAAACAACAGAATAACACGGGCGGTTCTTTATTAACGCGTTAATGTATTTCCGAAAATTCCTGTGTAAACCAATCCCTGGTAATACGAAAACACAATTTCCCATTGAAAATACATGAGCTGCTTTTGTTGTGCGTGGTTTTAATTGGTGGATTTAGAGCGGTTTTCCCGAAGCGTTAATTGTGCAAGTACAAAACAACCTGTCTTTACCAAATTTAACGTACACGGTTTGCGCCCTCGCGATAACAATTACGTATTTAACCTTTGTTATACATATTTATATCAAATACAGCGCTTTCCGAGCTATTTTCTTTTCAAGTGGATTTATTATTGCGGCCCAGATGTAGATATGGCATGGGGAGTTATATAGATAATTTTCATTTTCATAAAATACCTTAATAAATGTTACTTTAAATTAAAATTATGCGCTACACATGTTGCAATTGCAAAATTCATGCCTATGCTGCAGCAAAATTCTCAAAAAATTCTGCAAAAGCTAGGTTACTCTTCAAATATAATTATATTATAATTATAATATAATTGAATAGAATTGGATAGTAATAATTTTTACCGTGTGTTTAATATTTTTCGAAATATTTAATATATTATTCGAAATTAAATTCAAATTAAGAACGAGTTAAAAAAAATAATAACGAAATGAAGGATGAAATTTTTATCAGTTATTAACAATATTGAAATTTAATTCTCATTCTCTCGATATCTCATAATTAACAATTATCGCCAACGATAAATAACGTTGGTCGGTATTTTCATCGGAAAAATATCTCCTCATGAAAAGTATCGACGCACTGAGAAAAAATCTGGTTGCATTACTTAAAAGAATCTAGATTCATTAACCAATATGTTTGTTGAAAATGGACGAATCAGAATTCCTTTAGGAATTTACCAGATGAGTGAGATTAATTTCTTCCTGTTAAATTTACCAAATTTTCTTGATAGTAATACTAAATTTGCAAAAAAAATGCATCACTGTGTTCATGTTTAATATAACAAGATTTATAAATCCAGCTAGAAAAATATTAACCAAATATTAATCAAATCCTCATAGTAAAGTTTATTAAACGTTCTAATTACAAAAAATCAAGTATATCGTGATAACTAGAAATTCTGCTTGGTTCAACCAAAATGCCTTTGGCATGTACGTCTTGTTGGTACAATCAAACGATTTTTCTCAGTGCATATAATAAATTTAAAAATAAATTTTAAATTCATATAATAAATTTAAAAATAAATTTTAAATTCATATAATAAATTTAAAAATAAATTTATTATAATAAATTTAAAAATATTTGGAATAGCAATTTGTAAATGCAGTTTGCGACACACGCGTAAATTGAGATCGTTAATTCGTGATTTTTCATTCTTTTTCTCGTTTATTAGAAATTTTTCTGAATGCGTGAACCTGATGGTTCCAGAAAATCGCTCGCAGGAAAAGAGAAATAAGTTATACTTCAAGTTATCGAACTCACTCTGCTGTATGACATAGGCAAATCCGTCTTTGACCCATTGGACGATACCGACTCGGTTCCCCACCTCGCAAGGAATTATCACCTCGCCGCCTTCCAACACGGAACTGTTGCTCGGCCTAATCCGGAAATATTGTCCGCCGTCGCCTGTAACAGAAAGATAAAGATGATTTCGGTTCGGAAGCGCGTCCCCCGGAGGGACGATAAGCTCGAGTGTGTTTCCGCGTGTTACGATGAGCGTTTCACCGCTTCGATAAAAGATGAGGTAAAATAGGGGATGAGATGCGCCGTAGACTATAAAATTAGATTTTATTACATCGCGGAAATTGTCCGCGTGAAATTTACCGGTTATCTGCTATATCCACGTCGATAATCGATTCCGCACATTCAGACGAATAGTTAAGAGTTTCATTAACGTTCTACAAGCAAATTTATCGCATACTTTTATAGAGAAGCTGCATTAGCGAGCAAAAAATTTCTCTATACTTAGAAAATGTATAAAAAAGCAAAAATTGGAAGGCTCTCATATCTGAAATAGAGAAAACTAATTTACGTTACCTTTGGAATTAAAATATAACAAAATATTAATATTTAATCTGATATTAAGTAAATAAAAAGTTATAGTTATGAAGATGCATTTCGAGATTTCTAAGATTATCATATTCATTTAAAAGAAAGAAAAAAGTGTAAAGCCAATTAATGCATAAAATACATGAGCGTAAAAGCAAGCAAAAAGATTATTTAAAAATGTATAAAAATAGAAAGGAGGACTCATAAATCTGAAACAAAGAGTATTAAATTATATTAGCGCTTAGCCTTTGGAATTAAAATATAATAAAATACTAATATATTTAATTAAGAAACTGAAATTAAATGAATAAAAAGATATAGTTATAAAGACGCGTTTCTACATTTCTGGGAATATTATATTCGTTAAAAAAAAAAATAAAAAAGTCAATTAATGCACAAGTAAAATGCATAATCATAAAAGGGAACAAAAAAGATTATTTCTCTATATTTAAAAATGTAATTATAAAAAAAGAAAAATAAGAGACTCTTATATATCTGAAACAAAGAATACTAATTTATATTAGGGTTTGGAATTGAAATATAACAAAATACTAATTAATCGTTAAGAATCTAACATTAAATGAATAAGAAGATATAGTTATAAAGACGCGTTTCTACATTTCTGAGAGTATTATATACATTTAAAAAAAAGTAAAAAAGTCAATTAATGCACAAGTAAAATGCATAATCATAAAAGGGAACAAAAAAGATTATTTCTCTATTTAAAAATGTAAATATAAAAAAGAAAAATAAGAGACTCTTATATATCTGAAACAAAGAATACTAATTTATATTAGGCTTTGGAATTGAAATATAACGAAATACTAATTAATCGTTAAGTATCTGACATTAAATGAATAAGAAGATATAGTTATAAAGACGCGTTTCTACATTTCTGAGAGTATTATATTCGTTTAAAAAAAAAGTAAGAAAGTCAATTAATGCACAAGTAAAATGCATAATCATAAAAGGGAACAAAAAAGATTATTTCTCTATTTAAAAATGTAAATATAAAAAAGAAAAATAAGAGACTCTTATACGAGACTCGTATATCTGAAACAAAGAATACTAATTTATATTAGGCTTTGGAATTGAAATATAACAAAATACTAATTAATCGTTAAGAATCTGACATTAAATGAATAAGAAGATATAGTTATAAAGACGCGTTTCTACATTTCTGAGAGTATTATATTCGTTTAAAAAAAAAGTAAGAAAGTCAATTAATGCACAAGTAAAATGCATAATCATAAAAGGGAACAAAAAAGATTATTTCTCTATTTAAAAATGTAAATATAAAAAAGAAAAATAAGAGACTCTTATACGAGACTCGTATATCTGACACAAAGAATACTAATTTATATTAGGCTTTGGAATTGAAATATAACGAAATACTAATTAATCGTTAAGTATCTGACATTAAATGAATAAGAAGATATAGTTATAAAGACGCGTTTCTACATTTCTGAGAGTATTATATTCGTTTAAAAAAAAAGTAAGAAAGTCAATTAATGCACAAGTAAAATGCATAATCATAAAAGCAAACAAAAAAGATTATTTCTCTATATTTGAAAATGTACAAAAATAGAAATGGAATACTCTCATATATCTGAAACAAGGAGTACTAATTTACATGAGCGCTTACCCTTCGGAATTTAAATATAAGATAATGCTAATATAAAATGCTTAATCGAGAATCTGACGTAGTAACTTTTAAACGAAGTAAAAAGATACAGTAATAAAGACGTTTTTTCCGATTTCTAAAAAACTATCATTCGTTTAAGAGGAAAAAAAAAAGGTCAACAGCCAATTAATGGTAAAATACATAAGCGTAGAGGCAAGAGCTTTCAGTTAGAGACTCGTAACTTCGGGATCGATACCTGCGTGGCGTACTAATAGCCACTCGGTTATCCAGCATTTATCGCGTGACGGCACATTCACTTCCGATTCCGTCATTCGCTCGTAATTTGCTTGCCGTTGCGTCTCATCGTCTCGCTTAATTAACTTTAATCGTGTTATTAAACTCTACCACTTTTTAGTCCGTACCGCTGTGATTATTATACATCGGAGACGAGAAGAAGATATTCCATACATATCAGTTACACGTTCAGTTGCCGGTGAACCGGTGAAGTAATCGCCAGATTGGAGTAATTTCTTATTTTTATCAAGCGAATGAAGTTCTAATTGCAACCCCCTTCCCCATTCCTTTACTCCTCCGTCTTATTGAGCAGCGCAAGCGATGCTCCTTTATGCTGAGGCCGGATCGATTAGACTTCGCCAAGAACTCAGGGAGACAGGGAGAAAGAGAACGAGGGAGAAAGGGAGAGAGAACAATTATGCTGATAATGTTAGCGGTCAGGTAAGCCACTAAGCTTACCGATACCGTCGCTGGAAGAATCAACGTAATCGGACGGTTTGGCTGCGATATGATCGATAATTCCTGTAACGCGTGTGTGGTGTTCCGCGTTCGCGCCGCAACGCGGTATTGTACGCACGGGACGGGTTACGCATTGCAAGGGGACCTTTATCCTGTTTTCAATCGCGTACAATAATAGCGACGAATTCACGCGACGAACCACCCCTTTCGTCGACTGACAATCGCGCCTCAATTCGCTAAATATAATATGTTACATAAGTTCCATGGAATTTTTACGTCGAAAAAATTGATACATCAGTTTTTAATACACAAAAATCTGTCTCTGTTCTTCTCCGGACAAACATTTTCCACCTGGCGGCTTATCACGAAAAATCGACACACATACACATATTGCAGCAGAAATGAAAAGCCTTGATATAGGCTATGTGAAGTGATTTACAATTGAATCGTTTATATCGGAAACGGCATAGCTCTCGTTTTTTTAGCCAAATTGAATCAACAATGCTTTTCAATACCTCAACTCTTTCTCTCTCTCCCTCTCTTTCTCTCTCTCTCTCTCTCTCTCTTTCTCTCTGTCTCTCTTTATCGTACTCGTGTTTTGTCTGAAAAGGACATGTGTCTATCATTCATCATCGCATCGATACGTAGGTACTATCATGAATCTATGTTAGTTTTGGCACAGATTATGAATTATTGTTGCGAGTTGCATTTTTTCGAGCGTAAAAATATTAACTTCCCTTGAACAGTTTTATTATAAAGTACAATATTGATTTTGGAGAGCTTCTCCTTCGACAATATACAGAGTGTCCCAAAAGTCGCGGACCGTTCGAATATTTCATAAACTATGCACTTTAGAAAAAAATGTTTCAGACAAAAGTTGTATGGCTTGAAGGGGACCATCAGATAATAACAATGATTTGACATGGGAGAGTCGTTTGAAAGTCACGTGAAGATCACCGTCAATTTCTTAAATGGAACTCCCTATTTTTTATTACATATTCGTGTAGCTTATCTCGAGAGCTTTCCAAAACACTATAATAAAGTATTTTTTCATTGAGTACTTTTCGAGTTATGAGGCTTGAAATCATTTTTTAATTTTACATAAACCATAAAATATCTAGTAAAATATTCATTTTTCAATTATCTTACCTTAATAATTTTATGTACAAAATAATGAAAGGAATCAATAGGTGTAAAGAAAACACATAGTTGTTTTTAAAAAAAAAATGTAATTGTTAATTGCAAATTATATATTTTCTTCTTAAAAACAACTATGATTTTTCTTTACACCAATTGATTCCTCTCATTATTTTGTACATAAAAGTATTAAAGTAAGATAATCGAAAAATGAATATTTTACAAGATATTTTATGGTTTATGTAAAATTAAGAAATGATTTCAAGCCTCATAATTCGGAAAGTACTTACTGAAAACTTAATTATAGTATTTTGGAAAGCTCTCGACGTGAGCAACCAGAATATTTAATAAAAAATAAGGAGTCCATTTAAGAAATTGACGGTGATCTTCACGTGACTTTCAAATGACTCTCCCATGTCAAATCATTGCCACTATCTGATGGCCCCCTCTAAGCCATACAACTTTTGTCTAAAACATTTCTTTCTAAAGTGCATAGTTTATGAAATATTCGACCGGTCCGGGACTTTTGGGACACTCTGTATATTTTAATATCGTGGTATCTTGAAAAATGGCAACAATATAAATTACATTTAAATTTCGCTCTCCCGAAATAAAAAAAATATTGCGATATTAAAAATATTGGTGGAAAACTTGTACTTATACTTCTTATAGAGACTGAATACGTTAATTTATTAAAATTCTGCAAAAGTTTATTTCCCCGCAGATGCTACTTTCGTGGTTGCTATCAAATTGACGAAATTGCTTCGAAACAATGTCCTTGTCGAAACGAGCGATTTAGTTATGCCATTACAAAAGCCAGCGTTATATAATCAATGGCGCGGGCTCCCGAATGCGAACAAATCCCTATGTGTCTCTCGTGTTTATATTTTTCAAAAGGCCATTAATTTCCACGAAACGCGTCGCATTTGATGGTGGATTTGCGATGACGCGCCTAAGCGAACATTCACGTTTCACCCAGCACGCACACGCACTTGGAATGATTCATTCGCGATGATCGTTCAGAGTGAATCGTGTAAATTGGGTCCGGCCCGTCCACGAATTT